ACAGCAGCACCCTGAAACTTCATGCAGATGAAGAGCCGGAATCCCCACTGCTCTATAGAACCATGAGTGAAGCAGCCCTGGTGGGAAAAAGGATGAGGCCACCAATGATGGACAGAAAAGACAGACAAAACCATAGGGCCTCTATTAACGGACACTTCTATAACTATGAGGTGAGTTACGTTTCCATAAATTCAGTTTAAAATAGTGTTGTCTATTGAACTAACAATTCCACTCAAGTCAATGTAAACAATTAAAAATAGTATAATAATAACAATAATATGTTGCCTCTTGTCATTCCAACTCATGGCAAACCCATGTGTGGCAGAGTAGAACTGTGCTCCATAGAGTTTTCAATAGCTGATTTTTCTGAAGTAGATCACTGGGCCTTTTTTCTGAGGTGCCTCTGGGTGAAGTTGAACCACCAGCCTCTCCCTTAGCATCCAAGGGAGCACACTAACTATTTGTGCCACCCAAGAACTCCAAATAATAACAATAGTAGTAGTATATCCAACATTTATTGGGTAATCCCTATGTGCTAGATATTAAACCATCTTTTTTAAATTAATTTTTAATTATCTCCTTAATCATTAAAACAACCTTTTGAAGTAGATACCATTGTTTTTTCCACATTACAAACAAGTTAATTGAAATTCACAGAGGTTAAGTAATTTGTCTTAGTCATATGGCTTTTAAGTAGTAACTCCGAACTTGAACCCAGGTTTGTCTGACTCCAAAACCCAGGTTCTTAACCAACGTGATGGGCGAACTCATCTGTAATGGGTTGAATAAAAACCAAAAACCAAACCTGTTGCCGTCGAGTCCATTCTGACTCACGGTGACCCTATAGGACAGAGTAGAACTACCCCATAGGGTTTCCAAGGAGCAGCTGGTGGATTCAGACTGCCGACCTTTTAGTTAGCAGCTGAGCTCTTAACCACTGTGCCACCAGGGCTCCCTGGATAGTATCTCCCAAAAATTCATGGCCACATGGAACTTGTGAATGTGATCTTATTTGGAAATAGAGTTTTTGCAGATGTAATTAGGGTAAGCCTTAATCCAGTATGACTGGTGTCCTCATAACAAGAGGAAAATTTGGATACAGAGACAAGGGAAGGGAACCATGTGAAGATGGAAACAGAGATTGAAGTGATGCATCTACAAGACAAAGAATGTCCCATGAGAAGGCCAGGTTCAAAACATTGAATATTATTAGTTAATATAATTTTAAGAACTTTTATGACAATATTCTTGTTTTATAGACATCAGTTTTCACTCCAGCCTTTGAATCAGAAACTAAAGTCAGAATAAACAGTAACATGAGAACGGAAGAAGTCATAAAGCAACTTCTCCAAAAATTCAAGGTAACCTTCATCATTAAACTCAGCTATAAATACCTTGTATATAATT